GCACTGGGGTAATGATGATGAATGATGAATGAATGATTCTTATGTTTAGATGGTTGGATATAAATTAAAGATCAAAACTTATATATAAATACACGATTTAACTAAACAATGCCGACTTGCTGAGTAGTACTTTTATATTATATAAGACTAACAAAAAGAGAAATAAATGAGGTCTTCTCTCCTATACGTAATATATTTTTAAGCCTCAAGTTTAGCTATATCACACTTAAACATACCAGAACAAAGTTGCAATACACAAAACTAAAACCTTATTAGACTAAGCCAGACTAACAATCCGACAAAGTTCAGAACCAAAAGAATAGCACCTTAGTGACCCTAAAATTGGTAACCACATTTCCTACAAAATCTACAAACCAAACAAGCCCTGAGAGAGAAAGCGGGGGGTGGGAGTTCTTTCATTAGTTGATTTGTTACTGAAAAGACCATGTACTATAAGCTTAAAATTTTGCTTCACTTTGTTGCAATGTTAATCCTTATTGCGATTACTGGAGCCAAGATTAAAGATTATATGATTTTTTCTTCTTGGAATTGTTATTCAAAAGATTATATTTTGGTTCGTTGAAGTTGTTCATTTCTGATTTCATAAGAAATCACCTCTTCTCCTAACAAAAACGTCTTCTTCCTTTATGGCCATCAGTGTAGCTGGTATAAATATTCTTTTGTTTTATCTTTGGGAATTGTTATTCAAAAGATTCTGATTTTGGATCACTGTAGTTGTTAATTTCTGCTTCTATAAGTAATTAATCACTTCTTTTCAATGAGGTGCGTCTTATTCTCTTTTTATCCAAATTTTATGTTTAACAGGTTGACTATGCATGCACTCCAGAGGAAGTTCAGCAACATTTTCAGGCTTGTGGTACAGTTAATCGAGTCACTATTCTGACAGATAAGTTTGGTCAGCCTAAAGGTTTTGCATATGTGGAATTTGTTGAGCAAGAAGCTGTTCAGGAGGCACTTCAGTTGAATGAATCTGAGTTGCATGGGCGCCAGTTGAAGGTGACTCTTTCATCTAAGATTTGTGAGCCCCCCCCCCCCCCCCCCAAAAAAAAAGCACATCGATTATGGGAATGGGGAGTGAAGGGAGGAAGCCCCTCTCCCTGAAAATGCCACCATTCCAGGTTTGGATCAAATGGATATAGAGATGTGAAGACCTCATCCTCCCAAAGAAAATTTAAATAATAATTTATAGATAATAAACTTTCCCTCAAATTTTAAGTTGGAATAATAATTTATTGATAATAACCTCTGATAATCATTTCCAATTATCACCACCATACTTCCCCCAACTGTAGTACTACCTTCTTCCCAGTAAAAGCTTCACATAGAAAAATGACATGGTTATTTAAAAATAATTAAAAAAGGTTATTGGATTAGTTGTTTTGATGGGTATATAATATAATGAGGTCATTAATGATAACTGAGATGTTATAGGTTTGCTATTTTTTATTATTTGATTATTAAATTATCATTTAAGAATGCTAATTTTTTCTTAAAACAGAAATGAGAATTTTTGGCAGGGATGCCCAAAAAAGGAAATGAGAAGTTTGAGCTGGGAAGGAGGGATATCTATTAGGTTAAAATAAATATCATTAATTAATTAAAGATCATTATATGAGTTTGTCCATCATTTGCAATGGAGCCAAAAACTCACCAATTTTTGGGTTGGAAATATGATGGAATAAACAAAATGACTCACTAAACTGTTTGCACGTGTTTCTATGTTATGAAGCAGCCGTCAGTCTATGCAATTTTCTAAATTATTCTCCTTTGCTTACTTTTTCCCCCTCAATATGAATCGAGACATACTTTAAGAGTTTGAAAGGGAAAGAGAAATTGTGGAAATTGGGCAAAATGATGAACATGTTTGGTAACCCCCTTTTCAGCTTATGAATCTTATCAGCCAACCTTTTTAGTTTTTACCAAACATGTAACTTTTGATGTGTCGCGCTAAATTGTGTAATAATAATCAAAATAAGTAAGGTTGAAATTTCTTTTTTGGTTGAATTGATTGAAGTTACTATAGAGGACCATTTTTGCTATTTTTCATATAATATTTTCTTTATTTCATTAATAAAATATATTTAAATATAACTTTTCCATAATTTAGCCGGTTCAGCCACAATTTCATCAGTTTTAGCCAAATTTCAGTGTTACCAAATGAGCTCGATATCTGTTTTTTCCTTTTATTATCTCTTTCCATGGAATACAATGACACAATAATGCGCTTCATACTTTTGTTTGCTATCCATCACACTGAATAGTATTGAACTACTTTAATATCTGCAGGTCATGCCTAAGAGGACCAATGTTCCCGGTATGAAACAATTTCGCGCAAGACGATTCAATCCGTATATGGGTGGGTACAGGTTCAGGAGACCTTACGTACCAGCCCCGTACTTCTTTCCCCCATATGGATATGGGTGAGCTTTTTCCTTTCTACTTATTAGTCTTTATACCAATTCTCTAAATGAATCCATCAGTCAGGTTTGTTAATAGTTGGGTTCAGTAGGGGTTACGACGTGTCTAAGTTGAATTATGTGGGACCTAAGCGGGGATATCTAGCGTAAATATCGTTTTTGGTTTCCCAAGTCATTTATTGTAGGATTTGTGGGGCGTAGCTGTATTAGTCACATACTCGCATGTATAATTTTCTGGCAATTCAGACCCATTACTTTCAAAATGTCATTTTATTGTCTCAAAGCCATTAAAAATTTGCAATTGAATTATCGGAAAGGATGATTCAAATTGGGGTTGGTGGATTCATGCTAACATGACCATTTTTTAAGGATTATTAGCTTATTTTATCTCAAACTGTCATCAAATTCACAAATCTATCTTATTCTTTGACTTTTATAAAAAAAGACTCAAACTTCATCGTTTTCAACAATTATCCTTTTTTGATTTGATTTTTCAAAATTACACATATTCATCAATACCCTTAAGATATAAGCAATAGAAGTTTGTAAACTTGAAAATAGAAAGAAATGAAAAAATATGATATATTAATAAGATTTTCTTTTTAAGTTTTACTAATTCATCCATTGAAAGTGTAATTGTGAGAAAAGTCGAAGTTTGAGTCTTTTTCTAATAAAAATAAAAGTATGAGATAGATTTGTGAATTTGATGATAGTTGGGGTATATTTATCTAATAATCTTTTTTTTTTATTTACAAAATGTAAAAACATGTTTTTTAGGAAATGCTCATTGCCCGATTATTTAGCTTTCCTTTAGTAGGGACTGTTCGGTATTACTGTGACTTTTCTGATTTTGGTTTTACGAGTTTGAAAGGTATATGATATATATGTAATATGTTGCATAGGGAACCAAACAAAATCATACCTATGCTAATAGATTTTTCAAAACTGCCATAAAAAAGCTGATACACCAAATGAGGCCTAAAATACATTTTTGGCATCGTATTTAAAAAAATTTCAGGCCACGACGATTTTTAACAGGAATCTAATTTTACTTTTTACCAACTCCTATTAAAAAAAGCAGCATTGTGCCCAAAAACATACGAGTCCAATGAGAAGTTAGATGTGGTTTATTACAACAGTAATAACCTAAATTAGCACATTCTATATGGTTTTATGCGATGCAGAAAGGTCCCTAGGTTCAGGAGGCCATCTCCATACACACCTTATTGAATGTTAAAGATCTCTGGGCATTGTTGAAGGCAATGAAGCTAAATCTAAAGACGCCTGGGGTCACTAGTTGGTATCGCACGGTCTGTGTTTATTTGTTTTTCTTTCAGTGGAAGCGCGAGTGTAGTAATGTTGCCTCCCTATCCAGTATAATTTTCTCTCCCAATAACTTTTCTTGTGGTGAACTGTTTTAATACGATTCTTTTTGGGTTTTTTATATAGCGTGATGAGTGTTCTTCATTATTATTACATGCAGTATCTTTAAGCCACCCTAATAATCAAACAGCACAATATGCGTCATGCCCGTTGCGACTGGGTAACAATATGTTGGTTGCCACATAACACCAATATTTTATTTCGATCATGTACTTATTATACGTTATTATAAATTTGATCTTGAGTGGCAATAAGTTAATTAGCCCCTATTTTAGTTTATTGCATTTTATAACAACAATTAACAAATACTTGAGCTTCTTTTTGTGAAAAGGGCAATCTCCGACATCATTCAGAGATGAATTGTTGAGCTCAAACCACGTGATTCCTTTCGTCATGAGCGCTGAAAACTCTACAACTTTCTTTAAATGTAACTCGAGCACTGATGGCTGATCCAGAATAATGCTAATTAGCTATTTTTCAATGAGACATATTATTATAATATTGATTGCATGTCCGTCATGATGAATGCAGCTTGGAAGATTCTCTCAATTGTTAAATGAGCAGAGCAGATAATGGATGTCGGTCAAAATCATTTAAATTCATTTATATTTCCCCCCATTGCGTTTAGATTCACTTCCCTCACTTAATAAAACTATATAAAAGGGTTGGAGTTTTTTTTTGAAGTAAGGTTAATTAATTAATTAATTACGAAAATAATGCTGGAAAAAAAGTTATTACCGATCTACTGCTGGGCTTAACCATGGTTAGGGGTAAGTCGCCCAACGGTTGGACGACTTATCCCTTGTATATGATCGAAGGTCAGCAGCTACTGCCAGCCACGCACGATCGTGCGTACCCTTGGACGCACGATCGTGCGTTGTTCCGAAAACAGAATTTCAGCATGTTTTTCGCCCCAGTTCAACCCAGACTTATCTGTTTGCTATAAATAAGGTCTCTCTTCTCCTGTTTAAGTGTTACGAGCCAGATACAACACATTATAAAACATACAACACACGTCTTCACAATCACATACACAACACCTACTCTCAACAACATAAAAAAACACCTTGTAATTTGTAAATACCCTTTACAAATCAAATACAAAACCTTACATTCATAACCGGTATAACACAGTACAATCATCCAATATTCATAACAAGTAATCATCTAATATTCATACTCGAACACTTCAAGACAACATAACAGAGTTTACAAGAGAAAATACGTAAAATGTTGTAAATTGTTCCTACAACATCTACTGTACAAGAAAAACTGCAATACAAAAGACAAACTACAAGTTCTCATAGTCATCTTGGTCTTCTTGGTCATGGAGATGTTGTTGCTCATGTCTACGCCTACGTAGTTGTCGTGGTTGAAGAACCACTCTCTCATGCTGCGTCTGCGATGATGAAGCCGTTGCTGCAGTAGACGTCGATGACATCTCCTGAGAATCTGAGATGGGGCCATGGGGGCATTTGTATAAGATGGCCGTAGTCGACTCGCCCCAACACATTTGAACACAAGGAGGCAATGCCTGTCAGAGCATGTCCATACATGTCCACATCATGAGTATCACTCATTGTGGCAGTAGCCCACTGATGTATGCGCTGCAAAGCTCGTGTCTGAAATATGAAACACAATTACAATTACATTGAACTACATACAAGTATTAAATAAATAAGATGACTTACTTTACTAATTAGTAATATACTCACCGTAAGATGTAAAGGCAAGGAGCTAGGCTGATAATGATGAGTAGGGAGTCTGAACGAAGGAGACACAAACAAACGAGTGATGCTGTAATACCATCCCATGTAGTCTCCTGAAACAGATGGGACAAATGTCGGTGTCCCAGTCACAACTAGCTCAGCTCGCCTGTCCCACAGAGTGACGTATCGAACATGTCTCAGTGCCCAATCCTCTGTATGCTTCCCACGCCTATCCAGCCTATGAAGCTCTACATAAGTGTCGATAGGCTGTGGAATGACCTGCTCAAACCCAAACTGTCGCAAGACTCTATCAGGCAAATGAAGCTTAACAATGTCAAAAATATCAATGGCATATGTGCTCGCCATATGTGACTATGCTCTCGTCCAGCTGAATGGGGGCAACTCTGCAAACATTTCGGCTGTATACGGCATCCATGTAATCTGTTTCATAAAGATACAAACTTAGTATTTATGCGATACATATTATAGTTAATGTTATATTACCCACATCATACCTGATCCTCAGACATCTGATCAAATGCATCCCTGTAGACACCGAGGCCAGTAGCGGATGACATGCGCGATAGATCAGCATATAGACATCTAACCATTCATGTAACCGTTTCATTAATATGGATATTATTAATATTTTTACATGATGTGGTCCTAGAAGACGTGGAGGCTCATCAGGCAGTGGGTGTCCATCAATGCCATGATATGCGACTACAATGGGACGCCCAATGTGGATATACTCCCATGACCAAATCTGGAGGAGTAGCAAAAATCCCCCAAGCTCTGTGCTCCCTCTATGGCAGCCGCGACACAGCTGTCTGTAGAGATAAGCTAGCGTGGCACTACCCCAGCTAAACTGTGCTGCTACATCAAACCTCTCTAGCATAGGCAAGTGCAACACCTGAATCTCATTTCCGCTCTTATCAGCGAAAATGGAGGCTCCCGTCATCATCAAGATATATGCCCGCGCATGCTGCTGGATCATCACCTCATCAGCGTCCGGAGGAAGCACCTGGAAGTGCTCCCTCAACCATGGCATCCTCAGAGATGACCCCTGAAGGTCAGTCCGAAGAACGGGGCGGATACCTAACAACCGCTCACACTCATCTACCCACTGTCGACAAGCAGTGCCTATAACAGCTCTCCCATCAACCTGTAACCCAGTAAGTACAACAACATCTCCCAAGGTCACTGTCACCTCACCAACAGGGAGGTGAAATGAGTGTGTCTCCTGCCTCCAACGCTCAAGTAGAGCAGTGAGTAGCGCTCTAGTCTGTGCAGACCATAAAAACCCGCAGCACGAACATAGGCAAGTACTCTATCGTCCACGTGCATATGCGACAAACCCCGCAGGTGCTCGCGGCACCTATCCACCTGAACATCCAGGCCAAGCCAAACATCCTCACTCCTGTGCGAGGCCTGCAATGTCAGGACAGAACGATCACTCGGCCCAGGATCCGCTGTCACCTCCATGCATACAAACAAACAAAATTATATTAGTTAATTTTCAATATTATACTAATTCTTTTTTTTAATCATCCATTTTTGTAATTAATATTTTTTCTTGCAACCAAAACATGAATTGTGAATTACTCTAAATAGAACCTTACCCCGCGGACCCCCCCCTCGTGTCTTGACGTTCTCTTCGCACATGTTGCTCTATTATGGCCGGTTTGGTGACATTTTCCACATCTAACCGTTCCTCGGGGAGCTTCATCCATCTCATTTTTAATACGTGTCGACTTTGGTCTTCCCTTAGCCCGAAGCATGGATGGGTGCACGATTTCGGGTCCATTGTAAGGAGGTCAATAATCACGATCAGGAATGAGTTTGAAGACTATGATATGTGGCGGCGTATTGGTCAGATGAGAAAAACTTATCCACAAATGGAGCATAAGACAAGATATGTTGTCTGCACACGGCTAACACATGGGAGCATGGAATCTTATATATCTCCATCTTTTTACAAGTGCAAGTTTTCCGTTGTAGATGGACAGTTTGTTTTCTCCCACCCTTCCCCAATTTTCGGCCACCACAACCGGTTTCCACTTGAAGTATACCTCGGCCTAAATCAAATGGAGTCACAGTGTGATGCCTCGCCTTCTCTTTATTCTTATCAATTAAATCTGTGATATGTGGGGAGTACTCGTGGCCTTCTGTCAGCCTAATTTTACTGGTTTCACGCCTATTAACAAAATAAGCATTAACCCGATAAAAGGAAACCTGGACCAAAGCGGTGATGGACAAATATCTGGCATTTTTCATCACGCTATTGAAAACCTCTGCCAGATTAGAAGTGATGGTACCGTATCTGTACTCGCCATCGTGGTGCAGTGACCACATTTCTAGGGGAATGTTTCCCAAAAATTGTCGTGCCTCCAATCTCATTTCACCTATCTTCTTGAACCCACCATCAAACTTCTTTTTCTGATGTTGCCGTGCGGTCCAGACAAAAAGATTTTTAAGATGAATGTCTTTGAAATGAGTGTGCACATTCGATGCAAGATGGCGGATACATAGCCTATGATGGGCATAAGGCTCCTCCCAAGTACTGCCCACCTCATTCATTGCCCTGACAATACCTCCATGTCTATCAGAAATGACACACAACTCCCTATTAGTGACAAACTGCCTAATGCATGCCATAAACCATGACCAACTATCCCCATTCTCATATTTAACAACTGCAAAGGCCACTGGAAATACTTGGTTGTTCGCATCACAACCCATGGCCACGAGCAATGTACCCTTGTACTTTCCATACAAGTGTGTTCCATCAATAGTAAGTACGGGTCGACAATGCTTAAAACCATGTATTGATGCCTTGAATGCCCAAAAAAACTCTTTGAAACTGCATATAACCTGTGGGAGTATTAGGGGGTGGGTACCACTGCACAATAGTTCCATGATTTGAATGTTGGAGCGCTGTCATGAAACAGGGCAATTCAAAATATGACTTCTCCCAACCGCCAAATATTTCTGCTATGGCCTTTTGCTTCACCATCCATGTTCTCTGGTATGATACCGTATACCCATACTTTTCCTTCAGCATCTCAATGATAGTGTGCACTTTAAGGGAAGGATCAGTGCGAACAATGTCAATCACATCTTTAGAGATGAAATCTGAAGTCAAAGCCACGTGATCGGTAGTGTCGGTGTTGCCAACGCACGAAGTAGAATGAGGTCCAGGATAACGCACAATTGTGAAGGTGTCCAGGTTGCCTTTGTTATTTGTGGCGCGTATTCTCCAGGGGCAATTACATTCTTTCTTCCTTTTGCATTGCGCCACCCATTTGTGTTTATCGGACTCTATCACCCGAAAAATGGTCCTGTTTAATAGAATACAAGCTCACCATATTGATGACTTGTTCTTTGTTGTCAAATTGTTGACCTACCTCAAACTCACCTTCGGGGGTAAACCTTTTCTCACCTGATCCACTCATCCACGCATCAGTAAAGCCTTCAGGGAGATCATATATTCTAGTAAAGTGGCTAGAAGGGGCAGTTGTGGTGACAGTATCACCATCATATTCATCAGATTCTGTCATGTCATCACTATTGATGTTCTCGTCAGCATCATCATCACTTCCCTGCCCATCCACAAATAATGCACCGTTGTGCAAATACCTACCATCTTCCTGTATAACCATGTCCAGTACAGGAGCATTTGAGGAGTTCCCTGCATTCACACCTGCATTGACATCATGCGTAGATACAACAACATTTGATGTTGATTGAGTACCATAAGCGTCACAGGATTCCTCAATGTATATCTCCAGCGTGGACATATCCTCCATCTGAACTATGCGTCTATGCCCCACATATTTGTTATAGCTAGCTCATCAATGAGGGGCATAAGCATGTACTTTCCCCCGTTCATGGGAAATTTCATTTTCAACCCCAAAGAACGGGTATGATGAATCATTGTGGCTGCATGTATTTTTTGAAGGATCTCGAGCATGCAAGCGCCACGAGAAACCACGACAAAGCTGGTTCTACCACCTTCATGGCATATTTGCCCAGCATCCTCATAATAGTTCCCTCCCCAATGACAGACGATTGGGAAGCTTGAGAAATCCATATTCTAATAACAATTCATTGTCCAACATTCATGAGTAGACATCAATATACACACTTCAAACACATTCAAATTTTCATTAGAAAAAACTACCTACATTCTAATATACCCAATAGTCAAAATTCACAATCAATTCACATTTCAATATGAAAATACCCTACGTTGATATCTACATTCAAGTCTACAGTTTAATACCCAAATTTAGCTACATTCAAATTTACCAAAATGCCCAATTGTCAAAATACACATTAACATTTCCAATCAATTTAAAATCAAATTTCAAGCTTTCATACATATCCACATTTCACAACAACTGAATTCACAATCAATTCATAATCTAAAAATTCGAAAATTCAAACATTCAAAACCCTAAGTTCAAAATGAGATGAAATGGAGTTTGATTTACCTAGAAGAAAGAAGAAAGAGTGTTGAAGATGAAGACGGAGGTTCGCCGGAATGGCCGGGTCGCCGGAGATGGAGGTTCGCCGGAGTTGGAGATGGCTCTCGTCGTTCGTCGCTCGTCCTTCTTCGTTCGTCGTTGCAGGTAAGATCGATTTGGGGCTTTTGGTTTATGCGTTCTGTTTTGGTGCCTGTGATGAATTTACTTAAGGGTAAGTCGCCCAACGGTTGGGCGACTTATAAGTCGCCAAACCGTTTGGCGACTTAGCGGTTGGGCGACTTACCCCGACCATGGTTATCCCATCAATATTTTGGTAAATACTTTTAACCCAACCCTATTTTTGTAATTATTTAGTTAATTAACATTAATACGGAAAAAAACTCAAAGGGTTGTCTTCCCAAATCATTTGTTATTCTATCTCGCTACAATATCGTCCCACAATTGCCACAAATCTAGAAACATAATACAATGGGAGGAAATGCGGGAAGGAATACTTGGCATCAAGAGGTCGCCTAATAAACTATAAACTTAAGGTAATTTTCTCAGTTTAGAAATGTTTCTTTAGTATTACGAAAACTAGCTATTTTCGGTTTCAACAATATATTACCATTGTCAAGTTGTTCTTTTTTACAATGAAATCAACTTTGACAAATGATAGAATATGAAAATTATGTTAATATGTTTTATATACAAAATAATCTCATGAACTATAAAATTTATAAATCATATGC